ACATATTGAATGTAGTTCCCTGTGCTGTGTAGGTCCTTGTTGTTTATCTCTCTTATATACAGTAGTGTGTATCTGTTAATCCCAAACTCCTAATGTATCCCTCCCTTCCTTTCCCCTTTGGTAACCGTAAGATTGTCCTCTGTGTCTGTGAGTCTGTTCCTGTTTTGTAAATAAGTTCATTTGTATCGTTTTTTTTAGATTCCACTTATAAGTGGCATCATATGATATTTGTTTTTCTCTGTCTTACTTCGCTTGATACGATAACCTCTATTTTATCATCTTTTAACAAAGCAACAGGCCACATGGAATATGGGGTCCAGGGAGAGAAAAGGCAAAACCTCTAGGTTTTTCATGGCAGACCATTTGAGAAGCATTGGTCTAACATACCCTCAGGTTCTCTACAGATGCCTTTGGATTTGCTACCTTCACACCTTTGCCTGTTTTTTAGCTAATACTGCCTGTCTTTTAAAACCCAACTATAATATCCTCTCCTACACGGATTTTCCCTGAACTCTTGCAATGAAGTTCTTTGTGTTTCTGTTGAAACCTGTGACCAGTACTTATTGCAAGTTGGGTCAGTTAACATTCTGCACAAATGTACTCATCTCTCTGCAGCACCGCGTTGGAAGATGCCCCTGAGACATACAAGGTGATGGACATCTGGGTTGGAAGCCTGACTTTTGTCATGCATCAGCTGAGGGACCTTGAGTCAGTCCTCATTCATCAAATGGGACTCTTGTTAGCACTTAGCTCTTAGGGTTGCTATGAAGGTCGAATAATCCATGTAAAGAATTAAGTGGACAATTCCTGGCACACACCCAACACTCAGTAAATGACTGCTATTATGTTTTTCATTATTAATATTAGCAGCATGTTTAGAATATTTTTATTGCCTTTGTTCGGGCAATAAAATTAATCATTTAATTGCTTTGCTTTGAGGAAAAAGAGATAAGAAGAAACCCCCACAGATCCACTTTTTGAAGACACAGGTAGAAAGGGTGGGGTGCAGAAGTATGGAGAGTGATTGGATTTCTGCAGATTTCTACTGGGCCTTAGAGAGCTAGTCAGGACGGCTGAGGCATCCTGGTTTGGGCTCTGTGCACATAACTTGAGTCACTCTTATGACACTTTTTCTTACAGACAAAACTCACACTACCAAAAGGAAAATGGGATTGAAAAAAGAAACTTGAGAAGAAGGCAAGATATCTAAAAATATCCCCAACAACAAAATATTTGGCAGGAACACCTGAATTTTCTGAGTATAATTTTAGTTAGGTAAACATTGAAAAGATATATTTTCCTAAAAGAGGAAAGAGTAATTTTATAGAAACTCCTCATTGGCAGGAATCTTCAGATTCAGAAGATCAATTTTGCAAAAGATTTTCCTTGTTTTAAAGGGTAAGGAGATGTGAATTTGTACAAGTTGCAATAATGGTGATCAACACCTAACTGCTCAACCGACAAGATTTACCCCCAAATAGGCTTCTTTGTAGGATTATTATCTAAGAACATAGACATGTAGACGGTAACTATGGTGCCTGATCATGCGACACTTAAATGAAATGATTGTTTTAATTTGTGGACTAAACAAGTACATATATTAAAACCATACTTATGGATATATAGATGTCTAGGATGTGCTTTATTGGGCCTTAAAAAGTGGGTAAACTCTGCTCAGTGTAAGTGGAAATATATTCAATATATAACTAAATTAAATGCCAAGCAAAATGGTGTTGAATTTAAGGGAGTGGATTATGGTTTTGTGGTCAAATTATTTTGGGTATATTGAATGTCAGTTTGAAAGGGAGGCTATAAACAGAATTCTGGGAAGAGCTAGGAACAAGATTTAAGAGCTGCTTAAGCCCTTGCTAGACAAGGTTATTAATACAAAGACATAATTTACTATAGTTGGACGCTAAGAAAAACAAAGTAAAACTCAGAGTATTTAAAGCCTTGCAATCTGATTCTCTATCTGTAGGTATACACACACACACACCACACACACTCAACATGTGTTAACATACCCACCAGGTACATGTATAGATCTGCAAAAAAGGAACGATAAATATTTTTGGAAGAGAAGTTAAGCTGAACGCACACACCGACTTTCAATAACAAGGTCTGTGAGACTTGAAGGGCACAACAGTCTGACAGGGAAGTGGTGAAATCATCACAGACTGTTGAGTGATTCAAAATGAGATCAGACAAAACACTTTAAAAGTGTACTGTTCGAAACAGTCCAATGTTAGAAGATAGTAAAAAGATGCCCTAAGCCGGTCTGTCCCACTTCTAACTTTTAATGCTTTCTTTTAGCTTAAAAATAGAAAAGTATAACATTTACAGAAGTACTAAAAGTTAGGCCTGAACGTTAGAGTGCTTGTTATTTAGCAGTAGCATATATGATACTCGTGTCCTTGTTGTAGAAACAACAGAAATATTGCTATATGTCTTGGTCCTTTCCCGCTACTAGAAATCAAAAATGAAGAAAGAGCTTAGGGTTCAGAGCACCATTTAAGAACTGGCTGGTAGATCTGTCGTTAAAATTTAAGTTCTAAACACACATGTCCAACACAACACACCTTGATTTTGTAGCCAAAGTGAAAGGGATTAAGTTTTTCCCCCTGTATATAATGTCATTATAATTGGATAAAAACGTATGAAGATGATGGGAAAAGGGTAAAGGATTCTTTGAGAATTATTAGCTAATGGATATAAAAAAGAGTCATCGGAAAGTGACCGGCAATATATTTTTATAGACAAGCCCTCAAAAATAGTCAGCCCACTCTCAAAAATCCTCTTGAGTCCAATAAGCAAACTTTAAAAACCCCACCCCAAAAAGGGGGGACATCGGGTGAGAAACAACCTCAGAAGAGTTAATTTTACCTTCTCCCTGACCCCCCGATGGTAACTTAAAAACTGGTGAGCATATACAATCTCTCTATATCATTTGTTTTCTCTTATAGTCAAAGGCAGTCAGGGTGCTACATAAAATAAATCAAATTGAGAAGAAAGGGCTCAGTACATTTTTCTAAGAGTTTCCAACTTATGCTTTGTTTCATGTAACCTGCAGTCATGTGGTTGGGCATTCTTGCCCACCTTTGGGAAACTTTGAACCAGCCCCGGGAACTCACCATGCCCTGGAGTCAGCCGATGTGACGTTTTTGGATAAACCACTGGTTAGGTTCATGACCCTATGGATGGGCTGCCTGGAGTCAGTTCTGCCAGAACCCTCCCTGATCTGTAGACTTGTTGCTCGACCAGCACTGTACCCTCCGAACTGTCCAAGTGCTTGTGGTTCATGGGCCACCCCATCCCATGTAACTGCTTTTATATAAACCTCATAGAAAATTGGCCTGTGCTAACTTCTCTTATAATTCCTGCTTCCCAAAGTGTGCTGTTTGACACCAAGGCTACTTACCTGCAGAAAACAGAGAGGAGGGTCCTTTGTCAAGTTCTCAGAGTTTGCCGTGGTGGTGAGACAAGATTAAACCACTTCGTTTTCCTCAGGAATTAGTGCTGGTGGAGGGGTGCTGGCCACGGGTGACATTTGCCCTGGTGCCTGGCCCACTGCTAGGGGCTAGAAGATGTTACATAAACAACTGTTGCATGAATGAATGAAGAATTGTTTCAAAGTAGGCTCAATTTTGGTACTACTCTTTCTGCATCCGTTCCCTAGCAAGTGGCCACAGCCCCACAGGATCTGCAAAAACCCAGGAAGAAGAGAAAGGATGGGAGTTTAGTGACAAAAGAATAAAAATGACACTCTGTGTTGAGCCATCTTTTGAATTTTGAGTGTCTGTACAATCTTTGACTAGCCTTAAACTATTCAACGTGACATATTGGGGGCAAATCGTGGCATTCTGAAGACGAACACAACTGTGTCTGAATCTTAAATTTGCTACTTACTAATATTTAAGTAGCAGAGCGGATTGTTTAACCTCGCTGAGGTTCAGTTTTCCTTCACTGAAATGGAGAAATTACCTTTTGCCTTGGAAGCTTTTTCTGAGGTAAATCACTTCATATAGTGTGTGCGTTGTGTCTCAACAGTAGTAATGACAGTTTTCTTTTTTTCTGAGTATCTTCTAGATGCCTGGGTCAGGGCTGGTGTGTATCCAGACACTTTCATTAATCTTCCCACTAAATGCGCAAGGTGAATAGTTTCATTCCCATTACGCAGATAATTAAACTGAGAGTCAGTAATGTAAAGGGATCTATACAAGGTCGTGGAGCTGAAAAGTGTGAGAGAAGAGACTTGAGTTTAAATTTATCTAACTCCTGAGCCTAGGCTTTCCTTTACCCTGATTAATAAATATTATTTCTTCCCTTGCCCAAAAGAAATGGAAGTAAACCAATTCTCCCTTTCCTACTTAATCTGTTTGCCCTCTTCTAGAGGGCAGCAGCCCTATTACCCACAATAAACACCAATAGGCCCAAATGTTCTGCTCACTCTGCTTACTTATTTAAAATCTAACTCTGGGCTCCATACATAGAGTGTTCTTGGCTATCATTACTGGATCGCGCATCTTTTCAATAGATTTCTTCTCTGTTATTTCACGTTAGACACTGCAATACTGAAATCCAGAGAGGTTAGGGGATGCAGTACACTTTTAGAGCCTCTGAGATAACTCAGGTTTTCTGGATGTGTTGAAGTACAACCGTTTCTATCTTCTGTCCCGGGTAGCATCAGAGCAGAGATTCTTCTGGCCACGCATGGGTGTATGATGTCAGGGGGAACTCTGAATATTAAGGGTGGAGATGCTTAGCTTGGATGACCTGCCTTTGGAGCTGTTAGCAGATCTGGCAATGCTTAGACCCATCGCTGAGTCAGAAGGATATGAACCTTGGACTTTAAGTGTTGCCTTTAATTAAATGAGCCTGGCCCCAATTAGATTCTGGCAAGTCAGCTATTTAGAAAGCGCTCATTCTTTGGAAATCTTCTGACTTTCCCAAGTTTTGTTTTTACTCAGCATCTCGGAATTGTTTCTGTTTTCCCTTTGCAGATTTATAATCGCTTGGATATAAATTGCTGTGGGTTCCGACCTAGGAAGGAAGATGCCTGTGTACAGAGTGGACGGAGGCCGAAGTGCGACAACCAGGATGCCGTGGCTCTAGCCCACATTGTCCAGAGAAAGCAGGACCCAAGGCACTTGGTCTTTATAGACAACAAGGGTTTCTTTGACAGAAGCGAAGATAACTTGAACTTCAAACTGTTAGAAGGCATCAAAGAGTAAGTTTCTTGATGTAGTAATATCTGTAGGACATTACATTTCTCTTGAATAAGTAGTAAGGTCTGGAGAAGACTCACATCCTGTGTCTGATCAATTTAGCCCTTAAAGAGAATCTGGGAATGGAAGCCCAGAGAAGGGAACCAAACCCAAGGGGAACAGAATAAGGGTGCCGCCAGGTCTTACCGTCACGGACCCGTGCAACCTACAAAGGTCCTGCTGCCTTTCACCTCCATCATGCGGCTTGACCCTCACTGTGAAAATCCATGTGGGTGAGGTTGGAGTCATGTGGAGATCTGTGGAATAGGAAGCAGCACAGCAGGGCTGAGCAGGTGACAGGGGCTCCATTACCAGGGCACAGGACCGGGGAACTAACAGAAGAGCTGATATTGACAGGGCAGGATGTCCAAAGGCAGAATAAACTCAGTGACTTGGATCAGCGCATGGGAAGTCAGAGCCAGTCGGCTGAGTAGGACACGGTAGCCAAGGACAATGGCTGTTTAATTCAAGTAGGAGGTTTTCTGAGCATCTGAAAATCCTTCCATAGACATAGATTATGGGGAAAAGTATCTTGAGTTACACTCAAGAAGTATTTGGAAATATAGGAAACTAAGATACTCCATAGTGGCAGGAACCTCACTACAGAGTCTGAGCTATTCGCCCCCAACCATGGAGGTTGAGGCTACATTTCAGTGCTTCCCCCCAAAAAGCACACTTCATAGTCTTTGTACCTTAGTGAGAAATCAGGGTCACGAAGAAACTGGGGTGTGTGTCTGAACTTGAAGATAGAAGGGTGCTTTAGTGAAACAGTCAACCAGCCTTTTGTGAAACTGAGTGACTGCTGGGGACACAGGAGCGAGCCTAAAAGAAGCCAGGTAGAAGCCAGGTCTTCCAAGTCCAAGTCCAGTCATTTTTCTGCAGTGACTCTTGGTGTTTCTGCTGTTCCTATTTCTCTTGTTAATAAAACTCTGAAGCATATTTCAACAATTCTTCCTAGCTCCATGTATTAGGTAATGTGGATTTTATGGTCTTTTGACACTAGAGACAATGAGAGTTTCAGGAGCCCCACTTTCATGAGTTTTTGTTGTGTCTTTCCCCGTTAATACTCATTCTTCACACCTCTTTGTGGATTCTCTTAGATTCTCTCTTCTAAGTGTCTAAGCTCAGGAAATTTTATGTGTAGGAAAATGTACATACCAGAGACATCACTTACTGAGTTGGTATTATGGGGTCTTCTTTAAATCCCTGCATTTCCTCTTAGAATTAAGTGTATGCCTGGAGAATCCATCTATCCTATACATTTATAAAAATATGAATAACATTTTATTTATGCTTTCAAAGAGGATTTAACCTTAACTGCATTATGAGGAGTAATGAGTTTAAAGTTAAATCTTCTTTGAATATGTAATTTACCCATTCAACAGCAAAAATGAAGACTGTGCTAAGCCAGATTTATGCATAGAATATTTCTATTAATCAGTGTAATGCAAAGTCAGGTAATTTTTTTGATTTTCCTTTATGAAAAGGATTAGTCTCTAAAGAGATCCATGGTTTTAGCAGTTTCATCTCGTACATTCTGCCACAGCTAAATTAGTTCAAGGGCCATAGAATTTATAAATCATGGATTATCAGTACTTCATAGAGCAAAAATTCTTTACTTAATTAGTACTATGGTCACTAAATTATATAGGACATGTCTTCGGGGAGCTCCGAGCATCTGATTAGCATCCTTTAAGCACGTCCAGCTCTGTGGCCTTTGGTCTCTCTGCAGCATCAGAAATGCTGGAGCACGTGGATTGCTGTATTCATGCTCCCTCAGTGCTATCCCCAACTTGCTCCACTGACTTTTGGAGAAGGTACTTAGAGACCTGAAACTCCTGGCAGACTGTACTCTTGAAACAAGTATATGTTCTGTTTTAGTTTTTATACGTTCTGTTTTAGCTTTTAAGGAAGAGCTAAGTTTACTATTACACCCCAATATTTGTACTGTGCTTTCATCAGCATTTTAATGAAAGCTTGGAGAGAGGCCAAATTGGAGATTCAGCAAAACGTTGCAGGTAATTTTGAACCAGATATTTTACTAAGTCCTTCAGATAATGTATATGCTAGACCCCTGACTTTATTCTTCCTAAATGAAGAGCGGAAATCGCAATGCACTCTCTTTAGGTAATTCAGCAAGGATCCTTCTAAATTGACCTCAGGTTTTCCAGAGAGATGATTCATTGTGGAATGCCCTGGGTCTCAAACTTGAGTTTCGCTAAATTTATTTGAAAACAATTTAGTATTCCGGTTTAATAGAATGTTCCCAGATTCTGAGAAATCCTGAAGTATTATCTGAACCAAAGGCAGTTCTTTATTTAATTGGGCCTCTTGGAATGATTTCTTTCTCTTTACTACATACATTTTGGATTATTTCTCATTAAGTTCAGTCATGCATCTTCTCGTCTAGAAGAGCACTTTACTGAAATTGTCAGCATTTTTCTTCTCATATTTCCTTGCCTAAAACCCCATGTTGACACTTATAAGGTTACGATTCTACTTGACTGATTAAAGTGGTTTCTATGGGTGCAATGGAGCTTAAGATTGAGGAAAGTATTTTTCCAGGTTATCAGAATCCATTCTCATTCCGTGCCTCTCTTTGCCTACATATTATAACCTTAAGTTAGACATTGGTATTTATGTCAAGTTCTCAGTGGTATAGAAAATGCAGTTCCCTTGAAACTTATTCTTCTAGTATGTAATTATTAAGAGATGTGTCAGCTTGACAGTGACAAAAAATGTTTTGATTCTCAAGGTATTATCTGATAGTGTGATTTCTGCCAGATTAATGAAGGGCAGAGCCATTGGGTAAGGCATAATATTTCCCAGCAATTACGAAGAATGAAATATCATTTTCTCTTTTTAGGTTTCCTGAATCTGCAGTTTCTGTTTTGAAGAGCCAGCACTTACGGCAGAAACTCCTTCAGTCTCTGTTTCTTGATAAAGTTTACTGGGAGAGTCAGGGAGGTAGACAAGGAATTGAGAAGCTTATCGATGTAGTTGAACAGAGAGCCAAAGTCCTGCTCACCTACATCACTGCACATGGGGCCAAAGTGTTACCTATGAATGAGTAGCAAAAGGTCCTGTGGCTAGAGTTCTACATATATTTATGCATTTTTGTTTTGGGATCAAGTACACAAACCTCAAGTCCTTTTAGGGATGAGGCAGTAGCAATGAATACACAAAATAAATGAATTTAATCAAGTATATATGACGAGCCTGAACACTATAAGCAGACTCTAAAAGCTTTTACAGTTATACTGCTACAAAAGGTGTACATTTTCCTTCAACACCATGACCTGTGAGTCGCAACATCTGAGCACAGAATGGTTGCAATTATTATCCCAGGTAGCCATGTTAAAATATCTCTCGTGTTGGTTAATAGGACAGTGTGAATCAGACGTAGTGACTCCTTTAATAATTTGCTGCTCTGATGGGAACGGTTCTGGACGTCCTTCTGTTGCTAATTGTTAGAACATAGAGCAGTCTCAACACTACGCACAGGCAACTCTATGTTGGAAATTGGAGGCGTATGATCTCCAGAAACCTCAGAGCTTACAGTAATTCTTAGGAGAAATGGTGGTTTATTTGTAAAACCCCCAGTGTATATTCTATTGTACCTATAAATGACCAGCCAGCTCTGTGATCCTGAGCTCAAGAATCGCATTTTCCATTCCTTTTTAGAAAGGTATTTGTTGCCAGTATAGAAACCATCCATATCCGAAGATTTATACATTAAGTAGTTTTGCTCTCTCAGTTTCGCTCCAACTTACGTCTAGTGGCTTAGACATTCAACAGTTATAAGGTATTTACACATGTGAAACTATACTTATAGAGTATCCTTTTGTTAAGTGGATGCTCTTTTTACACTTTTTGTCATCTTTACCAAGGATATACTATAATTTCTGTATATTTCATTAATAACAGTGGATTTCTTCTAATTTGTTCTGTGTAATTATATTTAAACTGAATTAATTGATATTGTCCAGATATTGACCATAGGACCGGGTACTGAATGTGTTTAAATATATTGCTTGGCTTATTCTAATATGAAAAATATGAACAACATCAGTTAAAACCCGACGCTGATCAATTCTCCTCAATGAAAGCACATGACTAGAACTGAAACAGCCAAAATTAGTTAGGCTCAAATAATTCTCTCCAGGCTCTACCAACTTTTTAATGAGGTAGAAGGACATGAACACATAGTATTCCTGTGTTGAGTCTTCATGTCCTTGAAGGTGTCCACTTAATGGTGTTTGATAGATGGTCACATACAGATTTCAAATCCTGAACAAATCATTATTACCCTCCCCCCCATCCCTTATTAAGAAGCTACTCTACTGACTTCTTTCAGTTTAGAAATACAATTTAAGGATGTTTATAATGCATTCTATCCTCTATTTTCTCAGTTCTGCATGTTATCCCTAAAGTGCACCCCATTTTCTGTGTTCTGATCGAGGGTCACTCAATATCACTGTAAATTAGAACTATTGAAGACATTTTGATAAAGGCTAACATATCTATAGATTATAATTTACACCAATGAATGGGGCAGAATGTCAAAATAGCATGTTGAACACAAGAGAAGACAGACCAAGGGAAAAGGAATCATTCAATCATCTAATTATAACTTTTCTAGGGTCACATTCAAGCCCTATTCTCAGCACCTTCCCTTGCTGGCTGACCCTTGGAGAGCTGGTCTTCAGACGATCTTCTCTTCAGTGTCCCCTCTGTAGCCCTGAGTGCCTCCCCTGGTCCTACACATTGAGTGTACGCTTGGACCCTCATGAGTCTCCACTTCTACCTGCTGTATTTGGGCTTTTTAAGATCGCTTTACGTCTCAGTAATCAGCACATTAATGAAAAATTGGCCTAACAGAAGTCTGGAGATCCAGACTCTACTTTAAAATAACTCTTTGTCAAGTTGCCTTATACCTTGTCTTATCCATGTGGCATATTTGCATTTTAAAATGCTTTTTATGGAATATACCATCTTATCCAAATTTGTGAAATTGATGCTGGGAATTCCATGTTCCTCAGAAGCGGCTTTAATTTTGCATCTCAAGCTACACCATTTCGGGGTAGCTTGGTCCTCCCACTAGTGGGTCTGATTGTAAGGTCCAGGAACGCATGTTTATTTTAGTCACCTTTGCTTTTCAACAAAGTATTTTGTTTTGGAATCAGTGAATAGTTCATGCTGTATTATTTTTGAATAATGGATGACTGAAGGCCAGGCTTTTCATTCTTATAAGTAGTACTTTGCTTTTACTGGAACTAAGGGAATACTCTGTGCCTTTCAGGTACACTCATTATGCTGTGGTTTGGTTCACATTGCACATTATGGGGTTTATGTGTAACTTGACAAATTTAAAAGAGAGCAGTTTACCTGGGCAGACATACAAAAGCTTATTCTTATGTGATTATTTTTTAAGCTGGTGGTATGAAAATAAATATCTAAAAAATGTATAATAAAAATATTAGGAATTAAAGATGTGTGCTTTTTATTCTGTAGGTGGTTTTTATTTTGTTGTTGTTTTGTTTTGTTTTTGTTTTTGTTTTTTTGTAGATGGGCTGCTTTTCAGAAGTGAAGTCTAGGAGAATGTTTGCTGCCTTCATCCATGATAAAAGAAACAACTGAATAGTCAAAAATTATACTGGATTGTGTTTGTGTATGCATGTATTTGATATCATTAACAGTGATTTCATGCCTTCTCTTGGTGTACATTTAGCGTTGTTTTAGGTGGTACGCAAATTAGTTAACAGGTATCATAAACTAGGAGAAAACACTAATTTGGGGTTTTCTTTGCTTTGGGTGAGTCTTGCCATTATGTTTAAAGTTTTCTTTATAGTATTCATATTTATTAAGCTTATTAGGCACCTGGGGAGCTTATTGAAATATAAAGTGTTTTAGACTTATGCTCAAAATATTTATAATCCCTGAACTTGTATAATAGCCTGTTTATACCATTGTACTTTTAAATATACATTAAATTACAGCTAATGACTAAAATAAACTAGTTGTAGATTCATCTACACACTGTCTTATGAAATTCTAATGTTTATCTTAGTGTAGAACAACTAATGCCCATTTAGGGCACTAGTCTGAAAATATGATATGGGAATTGTACATGGGTCAAATAAAGATGATGAAGAACTTTCTCTAAAAACTAAATAGTGTCATCAAGAATTAAGAACTTTCATGAATGAAAGATGATTCGACTTGTCAGAGAAGTTTCCAGACACTTGGAAATAGCCAGAAGTGTTCTTTCAGTGCAAGTCTGGCCTTGATTTTTTATTGAATGGACTATTTAACAGTGCTCTAAAGCAGAGGTTAACTTGTCAATTTTTATCCCAGGGAGATGCAAATAATTTCTGTCTGGTGGAAGAGGCAACCCTAATGGTTTTACAGTTTATTACCCTGTTGGACATCAACCAGTTTTTATATCTAGTCCAACAATCTTATCCTAACATAGCCTGTAAATATTTAGCTTTGAAATACTCTTTGAAATGATTTTACCATCTTACTGGTTCCCTTGTTAGTTAATTATTCGAATAAAATCTTTGACATATGTTCATTTTACATTTGCATAGGAGTTGCAGTTCTACCTTTCTGAAAATTTTGCTTTAATAAATTTTTGACTGCAGAGCCAAATAATTGTAGTTTCTTGAGAGCCATGATTTTAAAATTTTGAAACTTTAACAACTTTCAAAACAGAGTCACATAATTTTAAGAACTGAATGCTACCATTTGATCAACTGCCTAAGTTTATTTTCATTTAATCCTTTAATTTATTAAAAAGTATTACTTGATCATCTACTTGAAAGGGCTGACTCAGAAGGGTTACTGGCAGACTTTGTTTTGTAGCCTAAAAATTCACATGGTATGTGAATGAAGTCACAGAAATCCTTTCTTACATCAGCGTTTCATACGGTTAAATTAGTTCAACATTTTTTTTCACCTTAGAAAGGTATCTTTTTACACTCATGTTTCCAAAGTGCATTTAATTTGTTGATAAAAATACGCACAATTTTGCACACATTAAGAAATCTCTATGCATCTTCTTTCTAAAAAAAGTAATGTGTATTTCTTAGCAGCACTTGTCAAGATTTCTAAAGCTTTTGAGACAAAGAGCTAAAAACAAAACAAACAGAAAAACCCTCCCTTGTCAGGGGCTTTTATCACATGCTGCAGAATAGCTAGCTGAGCTATATTTCAAAAGGAAAACTGGGCTGCAGGGAGTGGACCAGTAACTAAATGAGACTGAAACAGCTGTGATTTTGCAAAACGTGCCAACATTTTCTTTAGCTCCAGGACACGAGACATTATCTGGCTCATAAAGTACTCTATGTTATTGGCTCAACTTCTGTTTAGGAGAACAGAGATCTTTTTCTGTATCCTCATTTCAGGTCCTCAGGAGTATTACAAATTGAGGTCAACATTATTATTTTACCTTTTAGTACTTAAAAAAAATAAACTGTGAGTCAGATATCTGCTCTAACTTGGTGAGAATACATTACAATGAAACTTGCAAGATTCAGGTCTTTCATAAGAGAATTTTGAAATAATTTATAGCATCTCCTAGGAGAGAGGCAATCTTCCTTTCTCTTCATCAGGTAACAAGTGACAGTTAAAATATAAGACTTTCCCAAGACTTCTGGTGACAATTGTGGCAGTACCATTTGTGTCATTTCCTTACTTTATTGTTAGTTGCAAGTAGAGATGAGCTATGCTTAAAGAGGAGTGACATGGCAACATCCAGAGCAGGAACTTCCTGATTAAGGACATAGATTCCTAATTAAGTCTTGACTTTGTCCCAGGCTACCTACCGGTTGCCAGTAGTAACATGCCTTCAAGTTGTGACAACCAAAAATGCCTCCGGATATTGTCAACTATCCCCTGAAAGGCAAAATCATCCCCTGGTTCAAAACCACTGCTTTAGTCCATTGATAAAAGGCCCCCTATAGAAAGTAAACCTTTAATTTTCTTTTGTCTTCTTACATTCAGTTCATGAAGATGTTCTCTTCAAATTCCTCATATTAGAATGGATCGCCATGTTGTATGACATCAATCA